GTCATATCATATTTAGGAGATGTATTCATCCCATGTTGATTAGGGCGATGAGTAGACATGATGCTTCCATTCCAGTTCTCATAGCTTTGCTTTCTCGAAAGCAAGAGCTGAAGTGGACTGCAGTTTTACTTTCGCATGAACCGGTCTCATCGCTCCCCTCAGCGGGATTCGATGCCGAGTCGTGAGTATCGTGGCGTTGTTGCTACTCCACTCCACCCCACTCCACTCCACTCCAATCCACTCCACTCCACTCCACTCCACTCCACTTCACTCCACGGCCGTGGGTGCCAGTGGTCCGCAGGGACGATGCAACATCCAATGCAAGCCAGGCCTCACGGACAATGCCACTTCAGCCGTGGCAAGTGGGAGAGACGTGACTTTGCATGAAATCTACTTCCTTCCTGTAACCAAGGCGCATTCGTGGCATTCTGGCGTGGTGGTAGCATGTATAGATTATGCGCTGCAGTGCACAGGCTCGAGTCGCGCTGGGGAGGCGGATGAGGCCCGGACGAGGTCGAGATTGGAGTCCGGTCGAGATGAGAATGTGTGTTGGGGAGCAGGGCTTTGTCGAATTGGCTGTCAGCGTGAGGTCTATTTGTATGGTTGTGGGAGAATTCTGCTATCAGCCCTTGCGTGACTCGTTAGCTTGGAACTGGCGGTTCCGATGAGGTCGATACGGAAAAGACGCGGGTTTCGAACACTCTTGTCAGACAAGATTGTTGTAAATAGTTCCTTTTTCTATGCAAGTGTATACGGAAGTGATTTGTTGGTCAATCTCACCGGAAGACGCTGGCTGATTCGCGTTGTACAGCAGCCGTTTTGCCGACGTAGTCCACGAGACATTCTCCGTCGTTTCGGGCGAGGACGTGTTGGTCAAATGACGAACATCCTCAGAGCATGGATTCCTTCTTGTAAAAGTTCCAAGTGACCAAACACCGAGTCTTCTATGTACACATGAACAAAAATGTATAGATAGACATAGAATGATTGAAGTAGAGTTTCGAGACTACCAGTAAATCAGTAGTATGAGATCTATTCACCCGAATTCGTCTAAGCTGGTGAAGGACTGGTAGTAGAATTTTCCTACAATCATATGAGTTTAGCTGACTTTTCCATTCAATTTCACATATTTTTCGAATAAAGTATTGTTTTTCGTGTCTATCAGTAAATAAGTAGTATGAGATGTATTCGCCCAATTTCGTTTAATTTAATGAAGGACTGGTAGTAAAAGAAGAATTTTCCCACAATGATATGAGTTGAGCTGACGTTTCCATTCAATTTCACATGGCCGTGCTTTGCCAAAAGTTGTTCTCATCCAG